GTAGGAAAGGTGGGATTGATGGTCAATGTAGAGAAATACAAGCTGTTACGAATAAATTCTCGAATAAATGATGCAGTGCAAGTGAATGCGCAAGACAGAGACGACGTTGACAAATTTGTGTATTTGGGAGTCACAGTTTTCAAGGAAGGTAAAGGTACACAAGACATCCACAAGAGAGTAGTCAAAGCCCGAGGAGTATTTGTGAGATTGAGGAAGATCTGGGGCACTAACAGCATCAGCCGACGAACCAAAATCAGGCTATATAAGACTCTGGTTAAACCAATCTTGATATGAAGTTGCGAGACATGGAAGACGAACAAAAGTGTCTAAAATAAGATCGATGTCTTCCAAAACAGATGCCTTAGATGAACACTTAAGAACGCTGGCAGGACAGAATCACCAACAAAGAAATACTAGAGATGGCCGAGATGGAAAACCTCAGGGAGGATGTCAGAAGGAGCAGACGGAAGTTCATCGGAGAGATTATGAGGAAAGGATGTGAAAATGACTGTAGGACGGCAATGACGTGGGCACCAGAAGGGCGCCAGAGAGCGGGGTATAGACCTAGAACAACACGGAGGAAAACAGCAGAGAGGAGAGAGTAAGAATTGAATATAGGAGCTGGAGTGAGGTGTCCATGTGGCGGCCGACATAGCCGGCGACAGGGTGTTGAGGCCTTATGCACCACTTGGCGTGAAGTACTTAGGTGAAGGTGCCTCTCTAGCCGAGGGTCGCCACCAACAATATCGAGCTATGAATAAAGCTGCTTTAAAGAAAAGCGCCCGTCAAGACAAGAGAAAGTACATCGATAATAGTGTAAATAAAAAGAAGCAGTGGAGGTAGCAAAGGTAACTGATAGCAGAACGCTATATAACATTACGAGATGTGTCACCTGGTAAATCCCGACAAACCTCTACAATGATTAAGGACCTAAATGGAAATACCCTAACAACAATAGAAGAACAACTGGGACGGTGAGCGGAACACTTACGTGAAACGCTCAACAGAGATGACCCACGCAATCCACTTCGTCTAGAGGTCAACTTACCTGAACTAGAAAAAAATTCAGAAGCAATAACTAGAGTTGAAACTTGTAAGACAAGCAATTGAACAACTGAAGAACGGCAAAGCCTCTGGCTATGATGGCATATACTGGTAGAGCTATTAAAGGCAGATACACAAACAGCTTCCGGTGTGTTCTTTGTCTTGTATGAGCGCATATGGCAAGAAGAACAGATTCCGGATGACTGGTGCAGATGACTTATCGTGAAAATTCCAAAGAAGGCGACACCACCGAATGTACCAACTGAACTGGATCACGTCTCTTATCTGTTGATGTCTAAAGTGCTCACCAGAATCAATCTGACAAGAATTCAGCAAGCAGTAGACAATCGTCTAAGAAAGGAGCAAGCAGGCTTCCGTACGGGACGTTCATGTACAGAACAGATTTTCACCCTAAAGAACATAATAGAACAATGTATGGAATGGCAAGCAACCCTGAATTTTATTGACTTCGAGAAGGCTTTCGATAGTGTTGACCGTGTTACCCTATGGAAACTCTTTTAAAAGGCGTTATGGCATCTTACGGAAGCTCATCAGAATGATACAAGCTTTATACGGTGACCTCACTTGCAGCGTTCTCCATGACGGAAATCTAACACCCTGGTGTTCCGTGGAAATAGGGATTAAACAAGGATGCATGCTGTCACCTTTACTATTTCTGATTCCCCTAGGCTGGAGGATAGAGGACACAACAAGTCTCCAATGTACTAGGAAAAGATGGAAGCTGATATGTTTTTAGAGGACCTGGATTATGGTGACGACCTCTGCCTACTATGTAGCTCTGGAGCACATCTAAGCAAGAAAAAAATTAGAAAGCAACGCACGCATGGTCGGGTTAACGATCAACAGCAGAACGACCAAAATAGATGAAGACTAGTTGCAGGTGAAACTGCCAAGTCAAAATAGATGAACAGGAGATAGAGAAAATTGACCAGTTCTTCAACTATGGCAATGTGATTGATGTGCGGGGAGGTGCAGATGTGGATGTGAAAGCACGGATTGGCAAAGCTAGACAAGCATTTACATCATTGAAGCAAATATGGAGTTCAAAAAAGATCTCTCTTAATACCAAATCAAAGCTTTACAACTCAAATGTAAAGACGGTGCTCCTTTACGGCTCTGAAAGGTGGAAACAACTCAGAAAATAGTTATAAAGCTGAGGGTTTTTACCATAAATGCTTCCGCATTATACTGGGTGTAATATGGCCACAGAAAATAACGAACTTTAAAGTGCGCAACAAAGACATCATGGTGAGCTTAACCCGGAGGAAATGGACATGGATTAGTCATGGATTAGCCATGTATAACGAAAAGGCTCTAGCGACGTTGCTATAGAAGGTTTGTTTAAGACACTAGAGAGGAAACGACAACAGGGGGGTGGGGGGCTAAAACATCCTGGAGGTTGTCAGCAGCGAAAGAACCTAAATCCATACACATTATCTGGGGCGAGACCCGGAAGGTGGCACAAGATCGTGCACGCTGAAGAGAGACTGTGAAGGCCTTAATTTTTTGTCGTTGTTGTTGTTGTTGTTGTTGTTGTTGTTTTGTGAAGGCCTTGTGCCTCCCATGATGCAGTGAGGACCGATGATGATGTGAAATTACAAAATTCCCATGGCAACGTTTAAGGCAGAAGTTTATCGCTAAAATAAACAAGTCAAAAACCAACTATTGTAAGCGTAATTTGTCACCTGCGACATTAAAAGGTAAACAAATAGTGTACCTGTGAAATTAAAAAATAATTTCACTTAGATTTTGGCAAAGTTCTAATAATTTCCCATTGCCTTTTAAATTATAAGAATTTTGACAAAACACGAGTGAACTTGTTTCCTAATTTCACTCGTCACCATTTGATTACACATACTAATTTGTCGCCAAATAAGGTGTTTCGCCATAACCCGGCTGATAAGTTAAATCTACCTCGAGTCAAAGTGTCCCACTCCCGAGCTTATCCTGGATCTTGCAACATTAAAGGACAAGGAGTCTTACTGCTCGCCCCTTTAATGTGATGCTTGCTCATTGCAGGGTTACTCCAGCAATAACCTCACCCTCACTCATTTACACAAATGGATGGAGAGAGAGGCAATGGAGAGTACAGTGTCTTGTCTAACAACACAAAACAAAGACTTCAGTCAAGGTTTGAATCTCAATCGTGCTGCGCGCTACCAAATCGGCCACCGCGCCCCCTACCTGTTCTAAAGCAGCGTCCAACTACGCCAGAGAAATTTGAAAACGCAGCTTTATTTCTACGGTTATGGCCACCGTCCACACTAATCCGTCACGAAAACGCGCTTCAAACCACTGGAATTTGGAAACGCTGGCTTTTCGTTCTCATTTGGACGGGAAACATTTTGAAAACGGAGCGATGACGTGATGATAATCATGTGATTTCCCTGACCGAATTTTCTCAAATTCAAAATGACCGATGATTGTTGCGTTTACCAATTCCTCCGGCGTGGTGTGGAGGGAAAACATTTGATGCAATTTCAGTGAAACCTCCGTATTTGTCCAGCGAAACAATTACCTGTGGTCCGTAAGAAAGGTAAGACTGGGCTTATCACTGCGCATGATCTTAACCTTTGTGCCGCTGACCAACCAAAATACAGTTGAGATCATTTCACCGTTTTTCGACGGGTCTGTTGTTATTCCCATGGCAACTTGCTGGTCATACCACCTGAAACCTGTGTCCTTCACCCAATTTTTACCATCACTGTCTGGAAACCGAGTGATCAGTGTCCATCCTTTGCCATCATCTGTCATGTGACAGTACACCAACTGAGGGAGGTGCGAGTTTAGTTTTCGTGAAACATTTTTCGGAAAGTAGGATCTTAAAATATCCGCTGCAAACTCATGTCCTTGTCAAGTATTTTTTTATTCGTATCTCAGAGCTTTGCTGCTTTACTACCGGCTTGTATACAGGTTCGATTACCTACCGCTTTTCGGCAAAGGAGCCCGCGCTCCTTCCCCGAAGGCACGGTTGGACGCGTGAGGATTACTTTGTTAGTCTTAGCCGATCAGATAACCGCCCGCTGATTTTTGTCGGGCATAAATTGATGAAAGCAACATGAGAGAGAAATTAAGAGACGTTTAAGATCAAAAGATCGAAAGATTTACAATTTCGGGAAGCGCTAGAAAAGTTAGTCGATCGTCAAAATGTCATTCAACCAACGGAGTCGGGAAAATTTGAATTTTGTGGTGCCGGAACGTCGAATAACGAACAAAATCAATGAAGAGAGGGATAAACCTAAACATCGAGCTCAAGAGAGACAACGCTCCGTTAAATTGATGTTTGATGGAAAGTGACACCCTTCTCTGGCGAGCCAGACTGAATTAAAAGCGAACCGAACTAAAAAACATTTACATGGCAAATTACAGGGTGCGTTAACCATGCAGACTTATATGTGACTTTTAACATGCTACACCATAGTCAAGCGGCTCTGCTCTACTTAAATGACAAACTCTTCCTTAGAACACAGATATAATGCCCTTCCGAATATTCAGTTTCCGTTGCTTAAAGGGTGGTTATATGGAGAACGATCAATGAGTTTTAGGGAGTCTTTTCAAAGGCAAATATTATAAATAACTGTCAACCTCTTGTCAGTGATGTTCCCACGCACGAGCCTCAATTGCAAGCTAGTTCCAGTCCAATACCGAGAATACGAAAATTGTCCATTAGCTTCTAATAATGCCTAATATATTTTTTTCTGAGATGGCTGGTTGAATCCTTTGCGGGGGAGGGGGGGTGGGGGAAGAGTGCAGTCAAAGACAAAGTGATATTATGTTTTGATCGTGGGTTGGGACATGGACATTAGCTAATGACTGGGAGAGAATTCTGACCTAGTTGCCATGCAGCATTGCTTCACTAACGTTGACTGATATCAGTTGTTTCTGCGCAAGTAAGAATCAGCAGTGACTGATGAAAATAGTGAGACAAGAGCGGATGTGCAGTAACAACTTTTCAAACACTGTGCATTGTTGATTGTACAGAATAAAAAAATTGTTTTGTTTTCTTCTGACAAGTGTTTATCCGCAAATGCGAAGGTGCGGTATGAACGAGAAGGAGTTGGGGCGAGTAGACAGTGCCACGCCCACGTCTCGTGTCATGTCCCTTGTCAAATTTCGAGAGCAAAACATACCATCAGGAGTCTAGCTTCATGGCAGAGGCCCAGATCGATAACGAATGTTTGCCCATGTTTTTCCTCAAAGAATATTCTCATAAATGCAATAGGCATTATTCACCATTGCTGCCATTTTTGTTGCCTTTAGCTGTAAATTCTGTAATATTCATCGCATTGTTTAGAAGCATCATACAAAAAATTGTCCTACAGTCGCTAAACACAAGGAGTGGTTCTTTACATTATTCTCGACTGCTGTGATTGGCCAGAAGTGTTTTCTTAGCTGTTTGATTCAACAACAGTTATTCTATTTTATCAAATTATCCTGTTCCCGCGTTGCTGGTATATGAGGCTGAACAGACATTTGATAACCTTTCTGAAATCCCCACTAAAGGCACCGCTTAGAACAACACCAAAACCAGTTATACTTCTTTACGCTATCAGACACAAATTAATAATTTAACATCTGTTATGATGATGATAGTCGTACTCCAAGATGTCCATGTGTTTTCTTCTCGACGTGTTTATGTGCTTCCCTTTCCTCTTTCCTTCTTTGGTGTTCAATGGCACGTCGTTCTCTCTCAGCCTGCTTTCTCTCCTTCATTAGTTTCTCCGCTTCCCATTCAATGTCTTTTTCTGAAACAGATTCCTCGTCCCACGCTGTGGAGGATTCATCATTCCACGTTCCTAGCTCAGGCTAATAACAAAAATAAAAGACAGTATTAAAAGCTATTCTAGGTTTTTAACCAGTATTTCCAATCACCTATGTGTATCCACACCAAAAGTTTTCATTAAGCATTTAAACGTAACTGTGATAATTATTTTTTAAGGAGGGAACCACACCAATCAAGGATGATTTTCCGGAGCCTCCCTCAAAATAAAAACTGGAAAATAAAACCTAAGAAAAAAAAGTGCAGCTCCATTGACACAAATAAATTTATACGAATTCAAGATTTCGGATCTAAGATGGAAGATTTAGCTAATAGATCGTTGTTGCCATGCGCATGTTCAGTAACAGATCTAGACAGGGTTCTGCCTGATAGGAATCTACTTGTTTTATATAATATAGAAACCAAAGAATGTCAAAGGAGCTATATATGCATCTGTCCTCCAATAGATCATAAGTACGAACCAATCAAAATGCAGGAATAATTTGACTTATTATAATTTGCAAACAAACTTAGCAGTTGCCATAGGCCAAGTTAAGATCAGAGTGACATCATTGTTTTGCTAAAGACAAGTTCCATTTTCTAAAGCAGCACAGTGCATTCAATTGCAGTTTGTCCACGGACCCTCCATTTTGTCTTGAATTTGTCGCGATCGCAAACTTAGCAAAATATTAACCAAGCGCGTGGGATACACATGCTTAAATGCACGGGGCTGGGGCTGGGGAAAGATCAAAATCATATTTTTGTGCCTGCTTTGCAACCGCTCTCACATGCTCGAAGAAAAATAACACTATCCAATACTTCCAGACTGATGTTTAAACCTTTACCCAGGCTAACAGTTCCTGACCCACTTTTTCTCGTGATGCAAGGAAGAGCAAGACAGGTTGCAGAGATAATAAAGTAACCACATGACAGGTTTTAAATCAATTGGAAGAATGTCAGATTAATAATTCTCACATTTTGATTGGTTCTTACCTTTGATATATTGGAGGACAGATGCATTCATGAAATCATCCTATGATGATACCCTTTACATTCAGTAAGCACGCCAATATTTTACTCAGTTGCTGCCCTCACTCGCAAAATATTGTTTTTATCACACAAAAATAAATAACCTTAAAGCTTATCTCTACTGGGGTAAATAACTTGTATCTTACTGTATGATGATATGGCTCACCTCTGTAGGGGTATAACAGATATCAAAATTCAAACGACTTGATGGATTCTCTGTTCGTGGATGATAATTGTCATCAGAATGGACCTTTTTCTTCTTCACAACAATCTGTAAACAGTTTTTTTCAGCAAAACAGATTTTCTCAGTTATTTAGTACCATCTACGTTGTACGGACAGAAGTAGATGTACCTATTTATTATTTATATAGACATGAGTGTTTCACTGGAAAATACACCATTCGTAAAGTTTGTAGGTAACTACATCAGGGGCCCAAATGCATATTTTCCATATCCTCACTAGTGAAGATATTGATGACTTCACTTCCGGCCTTTTCATGGTTGTTTGCGTGCAAACAGTCATTCTGTCTATATAATAAAAAGAAAATTACATGGTGGCTTGAAGAAATGAATTTTAGTTTCTCATGCAACATTTTACTCAGTTGCTGCCGTCATTTTACCACTTGAAAATAAAATATATATTTTCGCACTGTCGTGAAATATCCTCTATTTATGATTTGAAGTTTGAACAATGCAAGTACACAATCAAATTCACGAATTAGTTTGGTCATTCCACATCGTGCAATTTGATTCATTATATTGTGAATGATTATGACCTGCAATGTCAGTACTCTTCAACCCTGATCCTAACCCCCAGGGAACAAGTGACTCGCATTTCAGGTTACAATAACTAACACAGACACTTAATTGAACAAGGGTGTTCGGACTGCCTTAATGATATTGCTCTAATTCCTTTGAATAAGTTTACAAACCAAGCCACAGCAAGGTACTGTAGGTGAAAGTTGATTTTGCCTTTGACGTCACTAACTACATGTATCTTAAATTATTAATATACATACTAAAATGTAATATTCACTATAAATTATTTAAACAATAAAAAGATAATCTCTCATTTTGATTAGTTTTAGACATGATCAATTGCAGGAGAGACCTACAGAGGAGATGACGTCATTAAATATTCTTTTTGGTATCTTTTGTAAACAATGCCATGTGCTCTAACAGACNATTTTTAAAATCTTACAGGACTCCTATGATAACAGTACTTTCAAGCACTGATGGATTAATCCTGTTTAAAAATTTCTTTTTCATTATTATTATTATTATTATTATTATTATTATTATTATTATTATTATTATTATTATTTGAAGGGGTGGGAACTGGATGTGAAAGGTAAAGAAAGTGGGAGAGTTTGCATTGGACTGCCAATGCTCTTCCCATCCTCTCACTCTTCCACCCTCCCACTTTACTATCAGTGGATTTGTCCAATTTAGCACAAGGAAACTTACAGTTATATATTTATTACTCATCAAACCCTCCATGTATAGTAATAAGCATGTGTGTAAAGTTCTCACTTACTTTCTTTGGTTTTTGAAAGACAGGTGTCATATCATGGAAAAGATCCTCATCAACTGGTGTCTGCTGTGAATTGGACGATGGTTCAACCTTCACACTAAATTCCTCCACTGGACCCCATTCTTCCCATTCTTCACCTCCTGGTGCCTGCTGCAGATGGGTAGTAAGTTATAGATCAGAAGATGAAGCCACTATTTATTTATACATGATTTGTGTTTAGAACTAGAAGTTTGTGGACTTTGTAAATTAAAGTCAAACTCAATTTTCTTTTGTTGGCAACTTTTAACTTTTCCTTCAACATTGTTTTTTTCTTTTTGGATAGACAGTATGCATCAAGAAAAATTTTAAATTTCTTGCTTACTTTGTACCTTCAGCACAGCTTCAGCTCGCTCAAGTTGGCCAAAATGTTTGAGGGGTTGATGTGATAGTGTGAAAATGTATTTGCACGTTTCTGGATAGGAGGGTCCCTTAGCAAATATGAACTGCCTCTGGATGTCGCAAAAATGAGGTCTTGCCAGTGGTGGAGTGAGATAAGAGACTGGGTGGCAGACATATTTCATTGTTAATAAGACATAACCAGATCTACACATCAGATAGCAGTTAGTTTTGTTTCAGTAGTAAATTAGACTTTAGTAATTGGTTTGCTCATCTTGCACTATTCACTTCACAAATTAAGGGGTAGAACATGTTTCTTTACTTCGAAAATGTCCCATGTTATTAAAATTTGCTGTCCATTGAATGTGTTTAATGTTCTTGATAATCCATGTGTGTGAGGATTAATGTCCCACCTTTTTTATGCCAGATGACCACAAGACACATTTACTATTTCCCTTTTCTCAACTGAGCCTGTGGTGTTATTACAGACTGTGTGTCCGTTGGGTGTGGCAAATTATACTGTGAGCACAAAGGACTAGACCTCTTTACAGAAAATTCTCAATTTACTGCCAGTAATATAACCAACTGGCAAATAACTTGAGATCAATTAATAATAAAAACAGATTCCTTGGGCAGGTTCCCACTTGCTCAAAGCAATAATTGTCAAACAATGAACAGATACATGGTGCAAAGGAAGTTTGCAAAATCCCTACAAAAGAACATCCTGTTTGACTGATGCTAGCCTCCTACGCACATGCTCTTTAGGCTCATCATGCCATCTTCCTCCCCCACGAACGTCTGCTGAAACAAACAGTACGTATACAGTCTTTTCCCTTTGCCCATAAAGATCAGCTGAAGATCACATGGAAATTACTCTAGAGCTAGTCAATGCTGGGTCATTGTATAATAAAAAGCCAATCATGAACTGAACAGTCAAGCTCCCTTGGAGTGGTATCAACTACAACATGTACTGTGGCATGTCATGTTGAATTCAGCAGCAACGCTTTCACAGTAAGAAAATATGCAATTTTTCTGACCAGTCCGCGTTTGTACATTGACGAACATTTCATCTTTTGCATTGCGTAATATACCACTGATAGTTTCTTGAGAAGGACTTAAACAATACAGTAAAAACTTGTGTAGATAAACCTGGATTTTTTTTCAAGTTATCCTTAACAGGTTCTGGTATAAATGTATGACAGGTTCTTATATAAATGGGGTATAAATAGGGAAGCTTAAAAGGTTGGAAAAATCCAGGTTCTTATACCTGAGTTTTCACTGTATATTGTAAATGTCTCACACACTTGTTGAAAGGCCATGACAGTATGGGCGCTAGTATTTTGGTGTAACGTGATCATTTCTCAAGTGCCAAGCAGACTTAATTCCTGCAACCTTGGCTTCCAGCATTTGAGAGGAACTAACTAAACTAATGTCGCATATGAGCACATCCTTCTTTCTCTTCACAAAATGCTCTGACCATAGCTTCTTGCTGACAAGGATTTAAATTGGCAGTGTTAATGTCCACACACTCAATGAAAGACTCTGGTATCATTGGTATCCATTGAAGTCTCTTGCAAAATTTCTCCGGGTCCAAAATTTGCTGCCTTGATCAGGAAAGGCACTGTGATTGGGCTACGTAAATAGCCCTGTGTTTCAGCAGACATTCATAGGCAGGGAAGATTGCATGGGGAGCCAAAAGAGAACTGTGTAGGAGGCTAATAAGATGCAGACCAGTTTGATAAAGTCAAACCTCTCAAAAAATGGACATGTTGCAATTGGGGACAGGAAACTAAACAGAAACAAAGACCAATGACCCAAGGTACAGATCAATTTGCGTGACCTTTTACAACAAAAAATTGGGGTTTTGTATACACCCTTTGTCAGTTGTTGATTAACTAGCTGTAGTCAAGAAGTTATTTTGGCAGTTGGGACACACCTTCATGGCCAAATTTGCTGTTGTGGAGAAATTAAGTGGAGGCTTTCATTTATTTGGAACTACTATGAGGCTTTGCTGATGTCAATATAGTGATTTCAAGTGTCGGGGATGGTCGAATAGTGGCGAAAAACAAAAGCAAAAAAATTCTAGGACCAGAAATCAGCCCCACAGTACACAGTATAGATACTGTACTTGGGGAGTATTAGATGTAATTAGTGGAGATACACGTCCACAGTAACTAGAAACACGAGCTAATAATTGCCTCGCTGGTGACCACCCTAACATTAAAAGTAAGAGAATACTTCATTATTTAGGTAGCCATCAAATTATGTCAAGTCCGGTCATAACAGTGATCACCTAAAAGATGAAATACGATTCTTACCATCTGCAAGCATTAAAATGCAAAGTTATAAATAATAATCAAATTATTACATACGATACAATATATTTCAGGTATAAGATCTAGTGATACGTCTGATGGAGACCTAAAATTCAGTATTTAAACGTTTGCACCCTTAATCCCTTTCAACAGCTTTAGTAAAATTAAAAAGATCAATATTTCCATACCTGGTCGATAGGAGAAGAATCGTTACCAATAGTGACTTGCAAGTTGACGCTTTCGTTTTGGCTAGATTTTCTATGTCTGCCTCGAAAGAAAATCCTCTTAATAAAACTGATAAAAAAGGAGAAGCAGCTAAAGAAACGACGAAAATTGAAATGGATTATTTTCATTATTATTAATAATACTACCGAGGTACTACCGTAAATGTTGNAAGAAGTTATTTTGGCAGTTGGGACACACCTTCATGGCCAAATTTGCTGTTGTGGAGAAATTAAGTGGAGACTTTCATTTATTTGGAACTACTGTGAGGCTTTGCTGATGTCAATATAGTGATTTCAAGTGTCGGGGATGGTTGAATAGTGGCGAAAAACAAAAGCCAAAAAAATTCTAGGACCAGAAATCAGCCCCACATTACACAGTACAGATACTGTACTTGTGGCGTATTAGATGTAATTAGTGGAGATACACGTCCACAGTAACTAGAAACACGAGCTAATAATTGCCTGCTGGTGACCACCCTGACATTAAAAGTAAGAGAATACTTCATTATTTAGGTAGCCATCAAATCATGTCAAGTCCGGTCATAACAGTGATCACCTAACAGATGAAATACGATTCTTACCATCTGCAGGCATTAAAATGCAAAGTTATAAATAATAATCAAATTATTACATACGATACAATATATTTCAGGTATAAGATCTAGTGATACGTCTGATGGAGACCTAAAATTCAGTATTTAAACGTTTGCACCCTTAATCCCTTTCAACAGCTTTAGTAAAATTAAAAAGATCAATATTTCCATACCTGGTCGATAGGAGAAGAATCGTTACCAATAGTGACTTGCAAGTTGACGCTTTCGTTTTGGCTAGATTTTCTATGTCTGCCTCGAAAGAAAATCCTCTTAATAAAACTGATAAAAAAGGAGAAGCAGCTAAAGAAACGACGAAAATTGAAATGGACTATTTTCATTATTATTAATAATACTACCCAGGTACTACCGTAAATGTTGTGAGTTTGTGAGTTTTATGAAAGAAACGAAACAGTCACCGATGACTGGCCAGCGGTACATCCCAACTCAGGTTTTCCAACATGGCTACTCTAACAGTCGGCTGCTCTACCTCCCCGACGGGAAATTTAGGTTAGTAAGCGACGGGAGTCGGAAGAAATGGAAAAGTTCTGATTCCTCCGGCTCTGTAGACTACGAGTAGTCCCTCTTTCGCTTAGTCCGTCGTATGTGACGCGAAAGAAAACCGCGAGAAACAAATGGCCGCGGAAATCCTGGGGCGAGGAGCGCTCCTCGCCCCCAGGATTTCGCGCGGCCATTTTTTTCTCGCGGTTTTCTTTTTCGCGTCACGAACGACGGACTGAGCAAAAGAAGGACTACTATGGCAAGCCGTTCGTAGCAAAATTCAATCCTTGCAATATATGTTTAATCCTTTAAATAATGGTTTTATTTAAACATATAAAAAGGCATTCAATCCAATGGCAAATAAAATTT